GATCTGGGTGGTCTTCAGTTTAGACCTATAGTATAGTTAAAACGTTAGGAAAAACCGGTAAGAACAAAACAGCCGGAAAACACTTCTGCTATAGGTTATGAAGCAGCACGAGGTTATGAGGTGGCGTGATTGTGGTGGATAGTAAAGGATAGGGTAACCAAGAATGTATTATCTAAATACCTAATAAAATCCACCTTCTCGTGATATTGCGAAGGTAAAAAAAAAAAAAAAAAAAAATTTTATTGATTTAATGATATATTGATTAGAATATTTCTAACTATAACTGGTAGTAACGATCATCAGTTAAATAAATATTTATAATGTATATAATCGGATCGTGTAATATAAATTAATCTACAACAGGAACTCGTTTTAATTTAGCTTATATAAATAATCTGCCTACTCTCGCTCTGTAGTTTAATGTGTATAAATAATTCCTTTTCATATAATCTAAATAAATCCATCAGCAAATATGCAAATAGCGAATAAGATGTTGCCGTTTTTGCTACACGTCTTCACTTTAATTTCAGCGAAATAACAATATGTGCTTATGTGATTACGTAACAATTATTATTTCGTTATAGTGTAATAATTAGAACTCTGCACTTTGTTTATATGCATTCAATAACAAGTGACTTTTATATTCGCTTATGCTTATACTTACACTTTTTATACTTACATACTTAAGTACTTACATTATATATTTATCATTAGTGATCTTTTTTTTAACGATCTATTTTCAATCTCTTGTTCAATAACCATTCTTTTTAGAGAATTTTTTATTTTTGCAACCTCTTTTTCGAAGACCTTGTGATTATTTTTTCAGTGATTTATTTTTTTCAGCGAACCTTGTGCCTCAATGACCTTTTTTTTTAGATCTCTTTTTTAATGACCCTTTTTTTTTTAGCAGTCTTTTTTTCTCAGCAGCCTTTTTTTTCAATGATCTCTTTTTTCAGTAATCTTTTTTTAGCGATTTCTTTTCTTTTCGTGGCCTTTTTTTTCAGTGACCTTTTTTTTTTTTTAATATATTTTTTCACTTCTCTTTAAGATATTGTTTTTTTTTCTTTTAATAAATCTAATGATGGAAAGTAAGTAGTTTGTTAGTTTGTTTTTTCTCAGCCCACTATTATTTTACTTATTTCATCTTGATTTTAAATTTATTTAGGTTTTTATTATGAAGAACTTCAAGCTGATATACCTGTCTTTTCTAACGATAGTAATAACAATAAGGGTAGTGTCATTTATCATCTAATTTTTTTTTATCAGAAGCTTACCCCCCTCCCCTCTCTTAATATATATCTTGATCAGGTCCTTATATATAATTTTAAAATTTTTACCTCCCCTCCCTCTCTAAAAAATTACCTGATTTTTGTCATATCTCTAATCTTATAGAAAATCTTCAAATGCACATCCCGCATTTTTTTGATGATATCAATACAGTAGAATGCAGCAATAACTTTAGAGAACAATTTTATAATCAACATTTCTACATAGAACCTCAAGAAAGAATGATCGTAGATTTTCAAGAAAGTATGGGCGTAGAATCTCAAGACAGTATAGGCGTAGAATTTTAAGAAAGCATAGATGCAAAATTTTATGAAGTATAGATGTAGAATTTCAAGATGGTATAAGTGTAGAATTTCAAGAAGATATAGGTGTAGAATTTCAAGGAAGTATAGGTGTAGAATTTCAAGGAAATATAGGTATAGAATTTCAAGATAGTATGGGTATAGAATCTCAAGAAAGAATAGGTGTAGAATTTCAAGATAGTATGGGTATAGAATCTCAAGAAAGTATAGGTATAGAATTTCAAGATAGTGTGGATGTAGAAACTCAAGAAAGTATTGATATAGAACCTGAATTAGAAGAAGAAACTGTTCATATTAATGCTGACGATACATTTATTTCATAGGATATGACTGAAATTCGAATTAAACAATATGCAAGATTAGCTGAATTTTGTATATACTGTAAATGAGTCGAAGTTGATAAAGGTAGAATAATTCGTCAATGAATGTTTGAATGCAGTTTTGCTGAAAAGACCATTTCCAATCAAATAATTGATCCAACCAACCAGCGTCAGCATCTCTCTAGAAAGGTTGGTTGTTTATAGTACATAAATTTAATCCAGCCTAAAGGCTTCTCAAAAGTAGATATAACAAGTATTGTTGGAGAGCACAGTCATACCATGGTATCTGATTTAAGTTTATACACACCTAGCTACTACAGATTGTCAGATAATATAATGGATCAGATTAAGTTTTATATAACTAAAGGCAACTTGGGATCAAAGCAAATATACCCTTTAATAACTGCAAGTTTTTCAAATCAGTTGATTTGTAAGCGAAATATATATAATGCCATTTATAGTTTTAAAGCACCTCTTACAAAACATTAAGGAGATGCACAAAATATGATTAATAAATTGCTTGACTTACAAGATCAGGAAACAGGTTGGATAATTAAAACAAAACTTGATCACTTTGATAATCAGCTTACGGAGTTGTTCTGGATGTCACCTAATCAACAACAGTGTCTTTTACATTATAACAATATAATACAAACGGATAATACAAGTCAAACAAACTGGTTTCATATATATTTGACCCTTCTAGTTATTATTGATAATAATACTAAAAATCAACTTGTCGCTCAATGTTTATCGGATAATGAAACAACCAAAAGTTATGAATGGTTTTTTGATTATATTCTTCAAGTGACAAATAGTGTCCCACCTATCTGTATATTTTCTAATGCCAATCTAGCTTTAATGAATGCCGTGGCATTAAAAATGCCTACTATTCATCATTTCCTTTGCATTTTTCACATACAAGAGAATTTACGCAAGAATTTATGAAGTAAATTGGGCAAACATTATGATCAATTTTATAAAGAGTTTCTTTATGCCCGAAATAGCTTATTCGAAAATGATTTTCATCAATGGTAGACATGTTTATTGGAAAAGTAGTATCCTCAAGCTCGAGATTATTTTAATAATACTTTATATAATTGTTATAGAGCATAGGCAAAATGTTTTCAAGTTAAAGTTTTTACAGCTAGAGTCCAAAGCACACAAAGGGTAGAAGTAATGAATAAAATAATCAAAGAGAGAATAAATAGTATATCTTTATTGTGTAATTTGCATGACATAATACAGCGATTGTTAGATAATGAAGCCAAATGGGCTCAGCATAATTTCTATCTTCAAAGCCTTCTGGTTAATCAAGCATTTTCTATTATTGAGCCTATATTTCCTGAAGTATTCGAGTTACTTAAAGAATATTTATTGCCTCACATTTTGTCCGTTCAACATCAGCAAATACTTGGATTCTTACTATATTGGGCAAGATTAGTCTCTAAAAAGATGATTAACATTATACAAGAGGTACAGTAAGTTTAATAATAATGACGATCATTAATTTAAGTAATAAAACAGTTTTCTTTTTAGAATCTTGATCAGTTCAATTGTGATATTGGTTTTCTTGAAGATAATTTTGATAGATCACAAACATTTTATTCTCTTATTGAAGAAATACAACCATCTGATATTCTAGAGATATAGGAGCTCATTGGTCTTACAGTATCTTATAAGCATTACATTATTTTATTAATTAATAGTAAGCATTTGTGTACTTGTTTATCTATTATTAATCGTAGACTTGTATGTGTATATTTTTTTTTACATAATGATGAATTTGACAGGTGCTAAGTTTAACATCAGACTTATAGCAAAATGATGGTATACTGAAAAGATTCATAATCAAGATGTTCAACCAAATCTGCATAAGACTGTAGAAATAGTAACACAACTTAAGCAAGTTGATACTAATAACACAATAGTATCTAACCTGCATATAATCAATACTTAGAACAGACTTAGGACACAATATGCACTTACAACTGAAACTAAACAATGTGTACAAAAAAAGGTTAAGTATGCTTATAGCTTTGGAAAGATAAAAGTAGCACTTAATTTAGCACTCAAGTTGGGTTGTGAAGATGAATTCGTTGATATGATAAGGGCAGTATCACTTATCACCTGATTTTTTTTTATCAGAAGCTTACCTCCCTTCCCCTCCTCTTATTATACTCCTCTTATTATATATTTTAATCAGGTTTTTATATATAATTTTAAAATTTTTACCCCTCCCTCTCTAAAAAATCACCTAATTTTTGTCACATCCCTAAATGGTTTTATTGATCAAAAAAAAGTAGTGCTAATATAATGCATAATAAGAACTATAAAAGTTTGGATATTTTGGATCCTTTGGTTCAGAAGCGGCATAGACGCCCACTGAGTAAACGTATCAAGTCATCAACAGAGATTAGATCATGACATATTAGTACTAGAAATAGTGCAATTAATCCAGTTAATCCAAATTTATATACATGTAAAGAGGTTGATAAAAATACTGCATTAAGAGCTCCATTTAATACCTTTAACAACAATTCTGTTAAAATTAGCAATAATATTTCTACCGGTTCAACTTAAGGCATGAAAGAAAATGTTACTAAATGAAAATATGTATATAATATATGTGGGAAGCCGGGCCATAATTCACGAAAGTGCAATATATCGAAATGATTAGGTAGCTTTTATATATCGATAGACAATGTTACTATTTCAAATCAGAGTATGTGATCATATAGTTTGACAATAATAATGTGATGCTAGGTAAAACATTAGTGCTAATACAATGTTACTGTTTGAAGTATTTTAAATTACAATATATGTAAGATTATATCTAGTCCAAACATTCCAAATAAAGTAGCTTGGGTAACGTCATTATAAAATATACTAATTTATTTAGATTTTGTATTCGATACAGATTGGTGTTAAGAAACTTGATATTGAAAATGTGCAGTCTAT